CACTATTGGTGAAATTATTATGGCCACTCCACGTAGTTAAAAGGGAGGTTTATTTTGTGGGGTAACTTACAAGTGAAGGGATAGTTTACAGGGTCTGGGAAAGGTGTAGCGCAGCCTGGCCGTGTTCTTTGGAGAACTCTGCTTGGTCTACTTCCAGCGTCCAGGGTCCAGGAACCAAGAGAGCCCGCGCATCTGGATCTTGGGTCTTCAGCATCTTCTCTCAGGCCCACCTTGTAGGCGTGACCATTACCAAAGCCTCAATGGAGGTTGGAACTTCTAGGTCAAAGCTGGAATGGCTACCCACTACAAGCCACCATGCCTAGCTGTTTCCACTGTGGCTTTAAACTCACAGAGATCCGGATGGATCTCTGCTTCCCAAGTGATAGGATTAAAGGTGTGTGTGCCACCATTTTCTAGTCTCTGTATCTAGTGGCTGTTCTGTTCTCTGAACCCAGATAAGTTTATTAGGATGCACAATATATTGGGGGACACAATATATCACCACAGTTAATTTCTCTGTGACAAACATAACTGCATTGGTTCCTTGGTTGGGTTAGAGTTGACCTGACATCTCTTCCACCCTCTCAGAGTCACCACATTCTCCAGTCTGAGATCCTAGTTGATTTGGAGTCTGTTATCTTACAGTTTGTTCATCCATCTGCCTTTAGTGGACAGCAAATGACTCTCCAGGCAAGTGCAAGGACCAGGTAGCCAAGAAAAGGCTAAGAGCAGCATTCTTGGAGCCAGATCTGCTGCTGACCAGAGTCTCTTGGGAACCTCTCTTGGTGGCCTATGGGGTTCTGTCCCTCTGGTCAGCAGCAGTCAGGGATATAGTCCCTCATTTCTGTCCACTGAGCTTTGCCATAGTGGAGGCTCTTGCCCCTCAAATCCAATGTTCCGTCCATATTGAATAGATTGCAGGCAGCAAGTGCCTTGGGCCAGTCTCTCTCTAGCCTATCTGTTCTTAGGAGACAGATGGACACTTGCATTAACCTTCCAGCAAAGGAGACACTCTGCCTCCTTAATTAGTTCTCCTGCTTGTCTCCCTGACCTCACCCTGGGCCTGGGAGTGTCTGTCATGAGGCATCTTTGGGATTGGCCTTAATTGGCAGCTTTTTGCACTCTTACAGAGATGGAGAGGTTGAAGCTGACTCCAGGTGGGTGGAGAACCAGGTGTCGGTGAGGACAGGATCACGTAGAAGCACTAGGGGCAGCCTTTGCCCAACCCTGTGGGATTAGCTGCTCTCTAGAGCTGGCCCTTGCGTTCAGTCTCCGTGGCAGGGAAAAGACTCTGAGCATCTCCACAATCACTGTATTTGTGGTCCTGTTCAGAGCAGTGGCCCCAGGAAGCAATGGCCATGCTCCCACGCCCATACCACATGTGTGGCCCACTAGGTCTTGCTCCAGGAGACTCTGGCTTCCTCTCATAGCCTTGTCTTGCTATTCACCCCTGCATCTTCATCTTACAAAGACAGGGTCGGTGTCTGTTTGCTTGCGGGCGGGATTCAAAGGGGTTTGAAGAATAAATGTTTTCCTAAGTTTTAGCTGACATTTAATTTTAATGACTTTCTAAACAAAGTAACTACGGGTTGAGTGCCTTTTCATGGTTTGCTGATGTCTGACAGGTGTTTTGCCCATGTGGGAAGCAGCTGTGGAAAGCGTTTTCCTAATAGCTCATAAATAACAAGCACTTAGCATCTCTCTTTGTAGGTGGCGCTGCCAATGGCCAATTTGTTCCTCAGAAGTGCCCACGTTGGCCTGTCAATCAGTTTTTGCCGTAGGCACTTTTTGGTGATTAGAAGCCCCTTGGAGAGTGAGGACTCCAAATTAGTTTTAAATAAAAAATAAGAATATTCATGTTGCTGAACATCTAAAGGCAGAGGAACAGCAGAATTGGGCCAGTGGCTCTGGTCCCAGTGCCCGGGGGAGAGGCTGTGGGCCCAGACCCACTGGGGTCCCCAGGGACCAGATGCAAGCAGGTGACACAAAAAGGCACCGAGGTGGGGGTGACAGGCTCAGGACTCTCTCAATGGAAGGAACATCATGGGCAGTGCATTGCTGTTTTGAAATACAGCAGCCACAGGAGAGGGCACCACTGTGTCTCAGGACAGGACATAATTGGCAGGCTCCAGGCAGGAGTGTTTCATGTCACTGAGCCTTTGCTGGGACATGAAAGCTCATTTGAGGAGCAGTGAGGGAGCAGCCCTGTCTCCTTGAAAGAAGAACAAATGTTCCTTTTGAAGAAGTTGCAGTGAGCAGGGCCAGCTCCTGCAGCATGATGGATGCTGTCCCTTCGGAACCCAATTCCCGATGGATGTGGAGGCTAAGGCTCAGAGGAGCTTGGCCCCTGGCCAAGTCTGCAGCTTCTAAGATGCAAACCAGGACGTAGGTCTAAGTTTGGATCCAACCCCCAAGCAGGACTGCAGAGAGCCACCTCTGAGGGCAGTAAGAAGGGAAGTAGCTCTGTAGCTCCAGAGTGGGTCCCAGAGAGAGGAGACTGGGGTCAGCATGAGCCAGTCCTGAGAAACCAGCTCCGGAGCTGTTGGGTCCCAAGGAGGCCAAGGGCCTGCAGCTTCAGGGTCCAGGTCCAGGCCCAGGCGGTTTGACTGTGCCTGCTACTCTCCACTTGGATTAAGTCTTCTCTGTTTTTGTTCCTTTTGCAGATGAGAGCAGTGAGCAGCATGCCCGCCCCCCACTGTCCCTCAGCTCAGGAACGCAGGAATCTCTATGCAGTGTGGAATGGTGGCTGCCTACGTTTAAAGAAATCAACTTCTCCAAGAGGATAACACTGAGGAGAGATTGGGGGTGGGGTGAAGAGTACCGGAGCTTAGACTCATATGTGCAAAGGCCTGGTGTGTGTGCAGGCTCTGCGTTAGCTGTGGAGAAGCTTCTGGAATTCCCTGATCCTTTTTGGTTCTCTGCAAGGTTGGCTTGGGAGCTGAGGATGGATTATGGGGAAACAGAGGCCCACCCACTACGGGGTTGTCAGACTGCTGTTCTTCCTCCCACAGTGCCCCTGCATAGTGGGTACAGACAGGAGAGAAGCCAGGGAGGACTGATGAGGACTGGCATGCTTGGCAGTAGTTACCCAAGATCCCACTTGGTACAGTGAACAGGCCCTGACAGTCTGGGAGGTAGCAAAGGGTCAGGTCCCAGGAGAAGGGGACAGGTTGAGAGAGGAGAAACAGGGCAGTGGGAGCCGGCCCACAAGGCCCTGGAGGCAGGGAGAGGTTGGGTGCAGGGATATTGGCTGTTAGGTACTATCGGCAGACATAATGTGCTCTGTAACAGGCCAGCCTCTCTGAGAATGGGATGTATGGATACATGGCAGACCCAAATACATACAGTCTTAGCCCAAATGCCCCTCAACATGCCCTAGGCCCCTCCCCATTTCTCTGTTCCCTTTCAGGAACTTTCAGTACCACAGTCACCAAACCTCATAAGGATTCTATTTCCCTTGGCGTCCAGTCTGCCCCTCATGGTGTCACCGTGCTCCTGGCATGAGAGGTGGATTCTCCAGCACTGAGGGCCCCTGCTGTCTATCCCAAGTCTTGGAGCAGTGGGCCTGGGGCCTGGGAAATGCTTAAGAATGCTCAGCATCAGATGCCGTAGCCCTTGCCCCTCTGCTACATAATTTTTGTCCTACTCAGCTTCCCATGTTACACACTGTTAATGGACAGAGATGATCCACATTACAGCCGTTTTGTGCTGACTTAGAGGCCCAGTGGGCATGGGAGGCTGGTGGCCCAGGCCCACTCTAAGTGAATAGCTTATGAGGTAATCAGGCCTTATGACACACAGTGAAGCCCAGTGGTAGTCTCTAAAGGTGACCGAGGAGAGTGTGAGAGCTGGTGACTTCCAACCTGTCAGCTCAGAGCACTGAGGAATCAGCCCTGAAGCTGCAGGCCCTTGGCCTCCTTGGGACCCAACAGCTCCTGAGCTGGTTTCTCAGGACTGGCTCATGCTGACCCCAGTCTCCTCTCTCTGGGACCCACTCTGGAGCTGCAGAGCTACTTCCCTTCTTACTGCCCTCAGAGGTGGCTCTCTGCAGTCCTGCTGAGGATCTGGATCCAAACTTGGATCTAAACTTGTTTGCATCTTAGAAGCTGCAGACTTGGCTAGAGGCCAAGCTCCTCTGAGCCTTAGCCTCCACATCAAGAATTGGGTTCTGACAGGCAAACACTCCTCAGGAAGTGGGTAGGTTGAGGCAGGCAGGTGTTCTGTCAGGAAGTGGGTAGGGTCCTAGGAAGCAGATGAAGGCCAATGTTGCTATGTGAGTCTATACCAGGCATCTGCTGGCAAAGCTGCCTCCTGGGACATGTTTACAGGCTAGGTTTCCAATCACAGTGATGCCAGCTGCCTCAGTTTCCCCTTCTTTCCTATAGCAGTGCTCTGCTGGGCAAAACCCAGGCTTCAGTCCATGTCCTCAGTGCCCCTCTTGACTTCACTCTGCCCAGGGCTCCATCACCACCGTCCTCCACTTCCTGGGCCTCCCTGAACGTCCTCTTCTCCTCCCCCACATGCCCCTGTGCTGCCTCAGCCCCTCCCACACCCTCTTCCTTGCCTGTTGAGCCTCTTGATTCTACCAGGGTTTGGCCCAGGTGTGCCCTCTGTGGGACGGAGATCAGTGCAGTCACCTTTGCCGCCCAGTAGGCTGCAGATGCTGTAGTCAGTAACTCACTGTCTTTACTCTGAAATGACTTTTTTAAAAAGTACAGATTTTTTTTTTATTTTTCTGAGATTACAATATAATTGAGTTATTTCTTCCTTCTCTTTACTCCCTCCTAAATGTTTTAAATGATTTCATTTTGTATGTATGCATGTATGTTTACCTGCATATGTGTGTCAGATCACCTTCAACTGGAATCATGGATAGTTGTGAGCTGTGGATGCTGTGCTGGGAATTCTCTGTAATAATAGCAAGTGCTTAAAACCAAGCCATTTCTCCAGCCCTGTTGTTTGGATTTTTGAAACTTTCTATATATCTCTGGTTGTCATGTAACCCACCATATATATATCAGGCTGGCCTCGAACTCACAGAGATCCACTTGCCTCTGACACCTGAGTCCTGGGATTAAAGGCATGTGCCCAGCTGGTTTTTTTTTTTTTTTTTTATTTGTGTGTGTGTGTGTGTGTTTAATATAATCACAAAACAAGCCAACCATTTGTGTTGTTAAGGCTCATTTCAGCCACACCAAATGCATTATAATTGAGCAACTAGCACATTTGCCTCTAGATCTTTTTCACCTTGCCCAAAATATCGATCATCCCCATTCCCCCCTTTAACACCCTGGCAGCCCCTGGTGGCCCCTAGTGGCCATCCTTGGTCCCCATGGGTTCATTATTCTCTGCACTTCATAGAAATGAAACAACGGAGGACATATGTGGCCTTTGTGCCTGGCTTCTCCTCCGACCACATTTCAAGTCTCATCTGTGTGGTATGTCAGTGCTCCAAGCTTTTCAGGACTGAACAATAGTCCACCACGTGGCATGGCTCGTCTGTCTAGACGTAAGCTGACACGCATTTGCGCCAGTTGTTCCTGTTGAGCCCTGCGTAGGGTTGAGTGCACCGAGGATGCTGCTGTGTGTGTCCAGCATTTGTCTCAGTCTGTTTCTAGTTGTGACCCTTGAGCACACAGATTCTCCCAGGATCTTGGCTATTTGCTGGTATAGAAAGATGTCACAGAGGACCATCCATCTTGCCTCAAGATGCAACAGATTCTGATAGGCAGATAATAACAGGCTCCTACCAGGCCAGGGCTTGGTGATCATAGTGTACCCCTTTAATCTGGGGCCCCCAGTTGCTAGTGGGTACTTGTGTTTTGCTGGGTGTGAGTGTCTATATGACAGCCAGAGTCTCCAGCTAGGCCTCTGCTACACCACTAAATATTTTAGCAAAGGAACATTTTTTTAACTGAGTGGCCAGATGTCCAAGTTGACAAAGTGCTTAAGGCGTTTGCCTGATAAAAAGCCTGAGCCCCCGCTAGATGGAGATTGAAAACTCGCCTGAGGCAAGTGTGTGATATTAAAAACATCCCCGGATCCTTTGTGCGGGCTCTGTGCATGGAGGTTTGAAGTGGGCATCCATCTGTCGCCACAGCGTGGCCTGATACTCAACAAAGCCTGATCGATCTTGGAGCAGGGCACTCTGCAGCAGTCCGAGTAGGACCATGAGGCCAAGAGCTGGCTCCACACTGAGGGAGCGTCATCCATATGTATGAGCTGGGCTGTGGCTGGCGGAGCTGAGCTGGGCTTATGAAGAGGACATAGACTGGTCTGTGGAAGCACCACCAAGCCTCTCCCCAGCTTTGTCTCCCAACTCTGCTTGCTGGAGATATTTGCTTCCTGGAAAACTACCTCTGGCATCTAGGAGCCTCCAAAGAACAGGAAGGATCCAATGGAGGCCACAATTCTCTCCTGTGCAGAGGTGGACATCAGCCCAGAGCCTGAGCAAAACCAGATGTCTACCCAGACCATAAGGGAGAGGAAAGAGAGAAGGCCCTGGGAGGGGCTAGGGTAACTGAGGTTTCCCAGGAGCTGGGCACAGCCCACCCTAGCACGTGGTACAAAGAAAGAGCTAAGACTTCCTGTGGGGATGAGTGGGTGGAGCTTTCAACCCCAGCTGTGATTTGGCACCCAGGGGGTTGACTTTTAAGCTACTGTGTGCATGTGACTAATGGAGGTCCCTGCACTGACGTGGATCTAGGACAGGCAGCATTATTGACATGGAAGACATTCTATGGCAGGTCTGGCCTATACAGCCTGATTTTGTTTGTACCACTAGCACCATGGCTATTATGATGCTAGGGACCATTGTTGAGCTTTCCATGGGCAGCCCGTTATTTCACGTGACTCTGACAGACCCTCACGATGAGGATGTCATCTCCTGCCTTTTGTATACGGCCAGGAAATGGACTTTGCCTCTGGGTCCTGGCTCTGCTCTGGGAAAATGTGGCTACGCATGCTTTCTTCTTGGTCACTGTACAGACTCAGTGGGCACATTTAGCTCTGCAGGAGTCTGGTGATCACACAAGGATCCAGTGTAAATTCCAGAGCCTGGCCATGTGGGTAGACTCAATCTGGCTGCTCAGCCTGCACATGTCCCATGGTCATGAGCTCTCCTCTGCTCAGCTCATTTTGATGTGGATGAACATATCCTTCCTTGACTTCCGAGCATGAAGGCTGATAGATTCCTGGACCTGAGGGGAGGCAGCTGCCACTCAGGTAAGGGACACAAGTGAGGTGCTAATGTGAGGTAGACCCTGATCAGGAGAGGTGCTTAGGTGAGTATCCTGGTTTCCTTTAGCTTGCAGCGATACAACATTGACCAAAAGTATCTTGGGAGAAAAGGATTAATTTGGTTTACAGTTCCAGATTACAATCCATCATTGAGGGAAGTCAGGTAGGAACTCAAGCAGGACCCTGGTGTAGAAATCATTGCTGACTTGTTCTCATGATTATTCACTCCAGGGTTATACTTACCTAGCTTTCTTTTTTTTTCTTTAGATTATTTATTTTATGCATATAAGTGTTTTGCCTGTATGCATGTATACATACTACATATGTGCCTGGTGTCTGTGGGGTCCTGAAGAGATTATCAGATCCCCCTGGAATTGGAGTTATAGCCACCATGTGGGTACTGGGAACCAAACCCAGGTCCTCTGCAAGACTGTCAAGTGTTCATCTCTCCAGACTATTTGCTAGCTTTCTTTTCCTTCCTTCCTCCCTCCCTCCCTCCCTCCCTGCCTCCCTTCCTGCCTTTCTTTTCTTTCTCTTTTGGGGGGTTTTTCAAGACAGGTTTTCTTTGTGTAGCCTTGACTATCTGAGAACTCACTCTGTAGACAAGGCTGTCCTTCAGCTCACAGAGATCTGTCTTCTTCTGCCTTCCAAGTGCTGAGATTAAAGGCGTGCACCACCACTGCCCAGCTTGCTAGCTTTCTTATATAGTCCACAAACAATGCCTAGGGATGGTACTTCCCACAGTGGACCGAGGTCTTGTGCACCAATTAATAATTAAGACAATTCCTCACAGCCACTCCACACAATTACTCCTTTTGTGAGGCGACTCTAGGATGAATCAACTAGACGGTGAAGTGTGCAGGTAAGGCAGGCAGATGCGGCATACAGGTGAAACAGTCACTGCTCAGTTGGGCTGTGCAGGGGACTCACCACTAGGCCAGCTCACAGGTTCTCATAGCTACAGTGATTAAAAACTCATCAGCACTTGGGAGGCAGAGTCAGGTGGATCTCTGTGAGTTCAAGGCCAGCCTGGTCTACAGAGTGAGATCCAGGACAGTCACCAAAATTACGCAGGAAAACCCTGTCTCCAAAAACCAAAATCCAAACCAAACCAAACGAAACTCATCAGTCCCGGCACCATTTAGCCCAGTGTATCCAAAGCCCTCTCTTTCATTCTTTTCCAGGAGGCAGTGCTGTCCATGCCTCCAAAGTTCCCTTCATGGGCACCCTTGGTCATCACAGGATCTGTGTGAGAGGTGGGCATGCCACCTATACTCAGCTTTTTGATGAGCTTTGTTCTACCTTGAAGATATTTCTGAGCCTGAAAATTATAGATAAGCAGGAAACTGGCCAATCAGGCTGGTTGGAGACGAGGGAAGGGTGTGGCGGGAAGGGTAGAGTGGGAAGGGTGTGGTGGGAAGGGTGTGGTGGGAAGGGTGGGGTGGGAAGGGTGGGGTGGGAAGGGTGGGGTGGGAAGGGTAGAGTGGGAAGGGTGCGGCGGGAAGGGTAGAGTGGGAAGGGTGTGGTGGGAAGGGTAAAGTGGGAAGGGTAGAGTGGGAAGGGTAGAGTGGGAAGGGTGCGGCGGGAAGGGTAGAGTGGGAAGGGTGTGGCGGGAAGGGTGCGGCGGGAAGGGTAGAGTGGGAAGGGTAGAGTGGGAAGGGTGCAGCGGGAAGGGTAGAGTGGGAAGAGTG